AGGCCGATTGTGGAAATCCCGTGTGTCCTGTGCTGCGAGCACATCCTCGCTCTCCTGGACCACGAGGCGGGTGTAGGAGAGGCACGTGTGGGCAGTGGCTGCCACGCGGTGCACTCGGCACGAGTGGACTCTGTCCCTGTCACCATCTTATCTGGCAGACAAGAAGGGGCTCAGTGTCCCCTCAAAGCTGAAGCTGACAGCCGTTAGCTTCCAGGCCTCCCAGCAGACCACTCCCAGGCGCAAGGTGCCAGCTGACCTGCTGTTGCCCAGTGTCCCAGCACATGGGGCTGCCCACACGGCCAGTCTTTGCTCTGCCCCCTGCGCCCTCCCTGGCTTTAGACCCACCCGAGCAGGTCTGCGTTCCCCGTCACAGATACAGCAGCAACATGCAGACACCAAGCCACTCCCGGCTCCCCTCGTGGAGCCTCGGACTCCAACCCAGCCACCCACGCATGCCCAGCGGCAAGCCCACACGCAGGACACCAGCCCCGTGCCTGCTGCCTCCACTCACAAACCCAACCATCCCCTTCCAGAAAGTTCTCCCTCATAAATAGATGAGAATAGAAATGACCCATATGGAAATATAATGTTGTTAAAACCACTGATTAAGTTTTACACAACCATGTGAGAGCAAACGAGAGGGTTTTAGCTTTTTAATTTAAGAAAAGAGGAATATGATATAATTTCAATTTGTGATAAGATAAGATGTTCTCGATATTGCAGTTTCAATTGGATTACATCCTGATGTACTTTGTAAAGTGTCAGGCCTGCTGCAGACGAAGGTGTGTGTGTGATATTCTTTATTAAAATTTAGTGGGCCGAGTTCGTTTATCTGTCTTCATCAGCACTCCCCACCCACTGGGAGACCCCATTAGTTGCAAATGTGTTCTGACCTGGGACCCGAGGATGAGAAGACAGTTTGGTGGGCCAGCAAACAGACCGGCTTTCAGGGGGGTGGGGTGGCAGTCAAGAAAGCAGGATAAGGGGGTCGGCCCCTAAGAGTCTGGTCTCCAGGCTGTGGGGTAGGTGGCAGCCAGAGCAGTCTTAGAGGGACAGAGGTGCCAGTCTGCCAGCGTGCACAAAAAGGACCAGCTTTGCAGCATACATTTAGGGGAGGAACAAGACCCTGTTTTCAGGCTGCACCCTCACCCCTGATGGGATTAGGGCTGGGCTGAAGGGCAGCAACTGCCCAGAGCTCACATGCCCCCATCAAGTTCCAGGTCTGAGACTGCCCCTCCAGGTCTTCATCAGCTCCCCAGCCCCTGGTATGCACAGTCCTAGCCAGAGAGGGGTGCGGGCGAGAGCACCAGCTGAAGGCAGGAAGGCCCCTCCGGGCCAGGCCATGCCGGGGAGGAAAGACCTGGTGCTGTGGGCTCCATTCTGCCTCTGACCCGGGCTCCACTGAGGCCCCTCCAAGGCTTGCTGGTCAGCAGGCACTCAAGGGCACACTGGACACCTGGGGTCCATCAGGTCCAAGAGGGGTGTGAGTCACACTCAGGAGGCAGCACGCAGTGACCTGGGCAGACCTCAATGCTGGGACTGGAGGTATAGGCCACATGACTCCATTTGTGGGTAACAGTGATACCACCCTGGTCCCAGCCAGACAGGGTCCCTCCCCTAGAGGACACCAAGTTGGAGGCTCTAGAGGCCAGTTTCCCTCCTACACCCTCCTGATGGAAGGCCAGGGATGCCAAAACCTAGGCCTGCTATACCCACACGTGAGCCTGGCTCTCCTCTGTGTGGAGCAGTTTCCTTTCCTGGCCAAGGGACACAGCACCACCTGCGACCCCAGTTTCTGGGGCGAGTCTACTTCCCAGGAGGCAGCCCTGTGCTCCTCCAACCCTGCTGCTCCTGCCTGCAGGCTGTGGGCCCTGGAAAGGCCCTTGTCCCACTCTGTGCCTCAGCCCCTGTGTAGAAAGTAAGGGGATGTGACTGAGGCCAGTCCATGGGAAGGGCCGGCCAGTCTCACCGGTCAGCCTGACCCCGCCCTGTGCACACCTCCCATCCAGGACCTGGACTGAGAGAAAGGTCTGGTCAAGCCCATGGAGGGGGGCTGGGTGGAGCGCCCCAGAGAGGCAGGTGCCCACCACTGTAGCCCCTGTTGTTTGCACCAGGGGTCCTCACAGGGGCTGAGGTTGATGGGGGTCACAGGAGAAAAAGCCCTTTCTGTGACACTCCCAGGTCTCTGGGTCCTCAGACAGACACAGGACTCCACAGGCCAGTAGCTCCCAGCCAGTGGGGTGGGAGTAGCATCCAGGTCTGGAAGGGTTGTCCTGTCCCATGCCCTCTCTGGGCATGGGAGGTAAGGCCTCTAGCTGTGAGATGCCCAGAAAATGCCCCAAGGATCTGGAACACTTTCTGTGCCCCTCCCCTCCGTCCCTTCCTCAGTTCTGGACGGCAGCGGGGGAGGTGCCACCATGTGTCCAGCCAGAGCAGGGCAAGCAGACGTGGGTCTCCCCTCAGTCCATGCCTGGTGGGGTTCAGGCAGGTCTCAAGGGCAGCAGACCCCGGCATGACGGCCATCCCCATCACAGGGGGAAGCTGAGACCCAGAAATACGCCTCCAACCCAACATCACCGCCTCAGCTGCAGGTACCACCTCCTTCCTTGTGCTGGGCCCCAAGGCGCAACAGACGAAGACAGCCCTGGCTTGAGGAACGGCCTCTCCGAGAAGAAAACAGCATAAACATCTCAACTCAGGTGACTTCAAGTGTCAAAAGTAAGCCAGAGTAGTGGGCAGACTGAGGGGCCTCTCTAAGGAGGGTACATCAAGCACAGGTCTAAGAGTAAGGCGCAGGCCTCATGCAGGTCAGGGCTCCAGACGGAGGCATGACAAGGACAAAGGCCCCGAGTAAGGTCTGCTTGAAGGAGGCACAGCCTAGAGCAGAGGCAGGGGAAGGATGTGAGGTTGCAGGGGCGAGGGGATGCCAGCCGGGGCCCCGGCTCCCATGGGTGCTGACAGGAGCCTGCCCCCTCCTGCAGGTCAGTGCCTGGGCCTGCCTGGAACACTCCAGGCGCCCCTCGGGCTGTGCAGCCACCCAGGCCCACTCATCACCGGAACACCCCCAGGCCTCTACACAGGGCCACGTGTGGATTTCAGGGTAGAAGGGGTGCAGTCCAGGAGACAGCCTCCCTTCATATGCCCCTCGACCACCGATGGGAACACTGGTGTGTCCGGGAGAGTGGCCAGCTTGCACGGAGCTCGCCTGTGCGCACTGGCAGGAGTCGCTGGGCTTGTGTCTACTCAGCCCTCGTGTGGGGGTGGCCCCAGGGCTAGTGACACTCGGACAGATTCTCTTCCAAGTTGTGAGTATGGCAGCAGAGAAGCCAGGCCCACCACCTGCACCATGTTGCGGCCTGCTCTGCCCACTGGCTGACGCGTGCCCTGAGACCCGGAACTCCCCGGCGCAAGGACACAGGCATGCGGTGCTGTCAGGACGGCGCTGGAGGGTCTACAGGAGCTCAGACCTGGGGACTTGGCCCTCGTTGACCGAAAGGAACCTGTGCCAGGGCTGCCTCTAGCATCCCAGGTTAGGACAGACGCCGCTCACCCCTAGCAGGACCACAAAGGGCTAGACAACACACTTGGATCCTTCCCAGCTGGCCTCAAGAGCCCACCCTGGGAGGGCCCCAGAGCCACATGGGGGATGCAGCCCCCGGAGCCCTGGAGATGGTCCCAGTTTCCAGTCCTGAGTACATCTGACATTCTGCATGACTGCAGGGGATCTCAACACCTCTCTGTGCCTCAGTTTCCTTATTAGTAAACTGGAACCTCTCTGCCAAGTGGCACTCTGCCTCCCCCTGGTGGGAAAGAGGTCACACTGCTGTGGGTCCCTGTGGGGCATGCCTATGAGGACGCGTAGGGGCCAGGGTCTCAGCGAGGGTCAGGCAGGCCAGGTCAAGGCCACCCTCCATAACCATTCTCCTACACACAAGTCTCACCCATCCTGTGCTCAAAACTGCTCACCATGCCCAGCACCCCCAGAACGAGCCCCAGCCGCTCCACTTGGTCAAGTGTCCCCAGCCCTGCTGACCACTTGGGGCAGTCCCTTCCTCCAGTCACCCACACTCCATCCTCTCTGGAGGCAGCTTGCTGAGGCTGGAGGACAAGCACAATGCCCGCAGGGCTCTGAGCATCTCCACCACCATTGCTACCAGTGTCCCTCACAGCCCACTTGCAGCCCATTGGTCACCAAAGACTCAAAGAGGGCAGCACCCTAGTCCATGGCCACACAGCCGGGCAGCAGAGTTCTGAATGGAATGCAAGGCTGCACCAGGCAGCTACCCTCCTTGTGCGATCACACTGCACGTCATGGCCCAAGAACGCCCAGCCACGGCCATCCGATGCACCATGAAGGCCGTGGGACGCAGCTTGAGGGCTCCCAGCTCGGTCCCCGCTGAGCCTACCAGCCCTTTCCCCATATTCCACCAGGTGGGGAGCGCTGGCGTTTGCCATTGCCAAGCGTCCACCAGGAACACCGTGATGGGCTCCCACGGGGCCGGAGACTGCACAGGCAGTCACAACCCCACCCCTTGATGGATGGGGAGGCCTAGAGCCAAAGGCAGAAGCTAATCTCCTGGGTCCCTGGGAGTGGAAACGTGCTGGACGAGGACTTAAGTGTGAGGGGTTCCCCTTAGTCCTTTCCTGCCTGACTGCATCCTTCGCATCAAAACTGGGGAGGGTGGTGAGCCCTACGCCCCTGCAGGACATCAGGAACTCAGGCCAGGGCCCGCTGCTCAAATCCGTCCTTTCCAGAGCAGGTGAGTCCCTGCCTGGAAGGCCAAGGTCACAGATGTCAAGCTGTAGAGACCCCAGATGGGACCATCACTGCAAGCAGTTTCCATAGATCTGCCCATCCCTGAGACCAGGCCAGAAAGGGCTGAACACCCATCTCAGAGGCCCAGGGCAGGCCCAGAGAGGGCTGGCACCTGCCAAGGACTTCCTGCTGGTGCAATGCTCAGCCAAGACCTCCAGCCCCATAAACGGGAGACAGCGCCAGGCCCCGTGTCACCTTCTTTATTGAGGCCGCTCAGCCCCGCAAGGAGGAGCTGCAGGCGCCCCTGCCCGCTTCCTCTGCCACAGCACCCATCCAGCCACAGGCGAGGGCTCTGCAGCCGCAGCAGTGCTCACTCAGGTCTTTTTACTGCCCTTCCGGGACAAGAACCTGACCAAGGACTTGCGCTTCTTCTTCTGCTCCCCGCCGCTTCTCTGCAGGTCTGGGAAGGAGGAACAGCCTCAGCATGCCTGCCCTCAGCACCTCCCCTGCTGGGAATACCCCACCTGCCACCTGGTAGTGCTCTCCCTCGCCCCAGCAGAAGCCAAGGCCCTCCGCCCACCCCTACAGAACCCCGCCTGCAGTGTCCCCTAGACTGGGCACCCCTGGAGGTCAGGGCCCTGCTAGGGTGCCTGCACACCCACCATGTGGTCACTGCTGCTTCTAGGCTCCTCTGAGTGACAGGGAGGCGCTGGCTCCCTGCGGGGAAGCACCCGCTCCCACAGAGGCCCGGTGCACCCAACGCCCCAACCTCCCCATGCGGCCCTGGCCCGTTACCCAGTTTCTGGATCATATTCTCCAGCATCTCATCCTCCTCTTGCTCTCTGAAACAGGAATAGGGGAGGCTGTGAGAGGCGGGTGTCCTCAGTGGGTGCGGAGGGGGGATGGGTCCATTTCAGAGGCCTCACCCCTCCGCTGAGTCCACCTACCAGCAGCCGCCACCAGGGCACACCCTCCCTGCCCCTGGAGAGCCGCGTTAGTGACATGGGGACAGCAGGTGCCTGGGTGACCTGGGATGGCGACATGGGGACTGGAAGGGCTGTGGTGACCTCTGCTACTGCCTTTTGAGGCCACAGAATGACATGTTTGAGTATTGTCCCTGGCCACTGACTCCGAGTGGCCTGGACAGGTCCTTGCCTAGCTGCAGAGCTGGGCAGCTGTGGGGTGATGATGAGCTGGCAGCTGGCACTGCACCAGGAGACAAAGGTGACTACGTTCATTCCAATAAAAACCTAATGTAAAGTCTGGCCTTCAGAGTCAAAATGCCAGGCTGGACCAATGGCAAGTTCCTAGCAGCACAGAAAGGGAACATTCCAACCTGAAGAAAGTTGGGCCAATGGTGCCGATCCTGCGCTCACCTGAGTCCAGCCCCCCTCACCTGGACCCCACCAGCTCTCACCTGGATTCTGACCCCTCGCGGGCCCCACCCTCACCTCAGTCTATCTTCATCCAGGAAGTCAACGATATTGCTGCGGTCATTCACAGTGTTCACATACTGTTCCAGCAGGTCCTGCTCCCGCTTCCGGTCCTGAGGGGACTTCAGGGCCTCTGCAGGAACAGCCTGCCATTAGCGGGAGCCCTGCTGTGCCCACCTGCTCAAGGACACAAGGGGGTATCTGGGCCGTGAGAGTCTGCAGCCTGTGGTGGGCCACGTCAGAGACTGAGTGTGCCTACCCCTCCCTAGTTCATCTCCCCACTCACAACATCTGCCCATTGTAGAGATGTGGAAACTGAGGCTCAGGGCACTGCTGTCCCGCTCCCATGAGAGGAAAGGGCAGAGGTGGGGACTGCCAGAACCCCAACTCCCAGCTGCGCCAACCACACACCAAGCCTCACACTTACAAAGCACTCAGCACCCACAGGTGCGCACTCGGCTCATAAATCCTCACAGCAGCTACGAGGGAGTCACTACGACCTCCACTTTGCAGGGATGAAGCCCAGGCATGGAGATGTTGAGTGACTTTCTCATGCACACACAGCCAGGAAGTGGAAGAATTGACTGTCACCTTCACCACCCTCAGCCTCTCCAGAAAGTGACCTCAAGGAGACCCTGAAAAGGCCAGGCATGGCCACCTCCTGGGGCCCAGGCCGGCTGCCCCACCCCCCACCCCCGCCTTAGGTTCTCCCTCGAGGAAGAAACACACCAGGCCGGTCTATCAGCCGGCGCAGCTCCTCCTGGATGTCCAGCTGCTGCTCCTCCAGGTGCTGGTCCCTGGCCCTGTAAGGTGACACAGGTATGAGGTCGGCTGCCTGGACTGGCCACCCATCCTGGCTGCCCGCCCACCCATGCAGAGAGGAAGCCTTAGGGAGGGGCCCTGCGTGTGGGCAAAGGCGTAGTGGCTGGACCTCCTACTTGTACATCAGCTCCGACTCCAGCCTGAGCAGCTGCTGCTTCTCGTGGATCAGTCGGAACCAGTCCACCATGAGGGCATCTTCAGACTCATCTGCAGAAAGGGCTGGGCTGAGCAGGGCAAGGCAGAGGCCATGCAGGGGGCCTACTGGGCCAGGGCCCAGGGTGTCCCCAGTGTCGGGCTGGCAGAGGCCAGTTCAGTAGCGAGGGGCTGGCCCAGCATGGAGGGGCTGGGGTCGTAAGGCAGTGGAGGACCATTGGGGGTGGTCCAGGCCAGGATCAGGAAATCACTGGGAGGGAGGCGGCAGCCTCAGGGGAGTGGGGGCCAACCTGGGGCTGCCACTGGGCTCACCTCCCTCTGCTGCCCGCAGGCACTTCTCCAGCTCCACACCCCTGAGCTCCAGGGCATCTAGCTGCACCCCGATATTCTGCACTTGCTTCTGGATCTCTTCCTCAGGGATGTAGTCAGGGTGCAACTGGGGATGAAGAGGTGGTGAGGGGCAACAGAGGTGCTGAGCCCCCCAGGGCCCAGCGCCTGCTCACCTCCCCCCAGTCTACTCACCCTGACGGGGGAGGTCACTGCTTTGCCATGTGGTTTGACATCAGCTAGGCCCTCCCACCATGGAGGCCTCCCTAGAGGAGGGGGAGGAAGAATCTCTCAGACCTCGGGTTCACCAGATGCCACATGACCCCAACATGGCCTGGAAGGTAGCCCAACCTCCAATGCTGGGTCCACTCAGCCCACTGCCCTGGGAGGCCTCTGTGTGCCCCTGGCATCTCTGCACAGGTGCCCAGAGCTCACAGGCAGGCATCCCCATGAAGTCCCCTTGCCCACCCTGGTCCTGCTGCCCTCCAGATCACATCACCAACATCCTCCATCATTTCCAGGTATCTGACTCAGGTGCCCGGGGCAGAGGGGCCTGTCCATCCCTCTCCTTTCCCCCTGGGGAAGGGCCTGAGCTTACAGTGTGCTCCTCCAGCCCTCTTGCAGCATCTAAAATTTGAAGGGCGGCCATCTCCATGAATGCACATCCTGTTCACTGCCCAGGCAGGCTTTCCCTCAACCTGGGCCTGATAAGCTCCTACTCTCCCTCCAAACCACCACCACAAGAGTCCTCTTTCTCCCAACCCCAAAACAAGCAGGGGCCAGTGTGGCCGGGCCAACCTGGATCACCCCAAGAATGGGACTTCTCCTCCCTCCAGCCCCCGGCTTGCTGCCCCGAGGGCTTGGGCAGAAGCCGGTCACCGGAAATATCCAAGTTGGCAGGGACAGTCAGCTTCTTGCGGTGGGACAGGGACTGGGACGGAGATGAGGATGACACTGGCCATGGGCAGAAGAGAGCCACAGGTCAGCCACTGCCACCCTGAGCCACCCTCCCGCCAGAGCAACACGGTCCTCATAGCCCCTGCTCTTGTTCTGCCCACTGGGCACGACCACCCAGGGGAGCAGAATGGTGATCCCAGTCAGAGGGAAACGCACACCACACACACCACACACACACGCACCACACCCACCACATACACACACACGCACCACACCCACCACATACACACACACTACCCAACCAGGACCAGATCCTCTGGCTGAGCAGGACACTCTTCCCTCCCCCCCCGTCCCCCCGCCTCCCAGAGAGGGTGTCTGTACAGGTCCCACCCCCTGGGATACTTGCCCCCAGAGCAGAGGACTGTCCAGGCCCAGGGCACCTGGAGGGCATCTGGAGCCCCTGGGTGCCTGTCCAACAGTACCTGAGAGACTGGCCGACTGTGGTGGTGTCAGGGTGACAGAGATGCTCCCCTTGGAGCCCCCTGACACCATCTGGGGTGCATCGCCTTCCTTTGGCAAGGGATCCTTCAGCTCCAGTGCCCTGGATGGAGGACCAGAGGTCAGCCAAGAGTGGGACAGGCCACCCCCACACCCATGTGAGGAACGGAACCCGCCGTGCCCTCAGGGATTGTGGGGTGAGCCCAGGACCCCCTAGAGTGTGGGGTGTTACCTGTGCACCCAGCTCCACGGCATGAGCATAGGCTCAGAAAGTCACAGCTGAGGCACGCCTGGGCACCCCATAGGCCCAGACACCCCCATGCCCATTTGCAACCCCACTACCCACCCAGGTCCAACTTGGCCACGGTGCACATGGGCAGTGCTCTGCCTAGCTAGCCCAGTGAACGTGCAGCAGCCTCCGAGTATGGCCTCCTCCCCAAGAAGCTAGTGGTTCTCTCTGCCTCCCATCCTGAGCAGTTTCTGGAGGGAGTCCCCCCTTCCCTGCCGCCAAGCCACAGTGAGGGGCGGGCCCAGCCCCCGCTCCAGGGTCAGGCCTGGTGGGCGCATGCCTGCTGCCCAGAGTGAGGGTCTTGAGACACTGATGGCCCCTCCCTGCGGCTGCACCTCCTGACATTCTGGTTACACCAGGGCATGTGGTCTATGTCACTCAGCCAGTGTGAGCTCCCCCAACCAGCACTGTGACTGGGTAGATGTGAGCTGCCCCCATCCCCTGGCCTGTAGTGTCTCACAGCTTCCGCTCCTGCAGCTGGAATACATGCACACCGTGCATGCTGTCCCTCACATGTGGCACGTTGGGGGGGGGGGCGACTATGCGCCAGGCCCTGCGCAACCCGGCTGCAGGCTTCTGCTCAGGTGCTTGTGTGGAACAACCCCCGGCACAGCCGTGCTCTGGCCAAAGCCCTGACCACCCACGGCCCTTCACCTCCTGTTGGAGTGTTTCTTATCCACAGGCTTCAGGCGGGCCCTCCACCCTGCTGGCGCATCCACATGCTCTTCCGGGGGACTGGCGCTGGGACCTGGGTGGAGGGCAGAGACAGTTCATATGTGCTGGGTCCAGGGAAGGGCGTATGTTGGAAAGGCTGGACTTCACCTTCCTATCTTCTTGCAAGCACTCCTTCAAGCACCGCCACCACCAACCCAGCGACCCATGCTGTGTGTGCCGGGGGCATCACTCACCCTCTCTGGGCCTCGACTCCCCCTGCTACCAAGTGCGTGAGTGTGTGGGGAGTTGAGCCCACTGGACAGTGACTGTTCATGTCGCTGTGGATAAACAGCTGGGCAGCAGAGGCCTGTCTAAAGCCTTCCTGACTCAGCCAAGGGAAAGACCCAAAGGGAGAATGCTTTGTGTGGTATGTTCTCAACTCAGTAGAGTCACAGGCACCCCGAAGAGGCACTCCGGGTCCCCAGGAAAAAGCCAGCTCCACAGCACTGCAGAAAAGCTTACAGCCCTGGAGCATGGGGCTGTGGATCAGAGAGGCATGGCCCAGCGGGATCCAAGGAAATGTGAGGCCCTTGGAGCACAGGGACACCGGCTCAGGGCAGGCGATTCTGGAGCACAGAGTGCCTCCTGGCATAGTCGCCAGGCCCATGGCTGTGGGGGGGCTGGCCAAGGGGCATCCAACAAGAAGTGCAAGCTGGGGGTGGGGGGTGAAGTCCTGCCACCCCATGGGATAACTGCCACCACAAACAGAGGCCAGGCAGACAGGGGAGACCAAGAAGCAGGGAATGCTCCCAAGCACTGTGGCGAGTGACAGACATGGAGGGGGACCCCAGAGTCACACTGTGAAGCAGCAAACTGCTGCAGAAAAGTAGGCTGGGGAGCAGAGTGGCCACGACACACAGGCACCTCTTAGTGAAAGTATAGAGCCACAGACCTTCCCCCACCCCGCATTAGCAGGCTCTGACCCTTTGCCAACGGGACCTCTGGCTTCAGCTTGGAGCCTGCGCCTGCCCAGCCGACTCCTGAGGACAGAGCCGAGCTCTTCCTGCCTGTCTCGGGTGGTGTGGGTCCCTGTGAGGAGGTGCCGGCTCTCACAGGGGCCGGTGGCTCAGTCTTCACAGTGGGGCGAGGGGCCTGGGGAGACAGCGACTGTGACACCTTGGCTGCAGGACTTGCTCGTGGCCCGTCAGTTCTGGAATGAGAATTCTGAGCAGGGGAGGAAGCTGGGAAGGGCCTGTGGGTGAAAAATCAGGCATCAGGCACTAATGGGTCCAGGATCCCTCCCACCATGGCCCCGGACAGAAGCCTCCTGGCAGCTGTCCCCAGTGCCCACCCTCTGGAGGGAGACAGGCTGTCTCCAAGGAACTGGCTTCCAAGTATTGGCAGTAGATTGTATTCTCCTGCTTAACTCCAATGTTGCCTGAGACTAAAATATCCCCCAAACAGACTATGCATGGAGTGTACAGGTAGGAACTGCATCCCCAGCGCCCCAGCGCCCTCCTCTCCCACCCATCTGGCTAGAAGCACCTGAGACTGCATAGCAGAGGCACTGCCCAGAACCACAGGCCTCCCTAACCCTGCTCTAAATCACACTCCTGGGATCCCCACAAGGTACCTATCTTTGGTCACCCTGGCCCCCTCCAGGTGCACACATGTAAGGGTGGGCTGCTCACAGCCAGGGCCCAAAGCAGGAGCACCAGACACTTCCTGCAGCCAGGGCAGCCCTCTGGGGGCCCTTCCCCTCTGGTAGAATCCATGTCTCTCCGCCCCCCCCCCCACTGTCCCAGGATGACTGTGCTGGGTTCCCAGGAGAACTGGGCCCACCCAGCCAGACACACTGCTCCAGGGGGCACTCCCTGAAGCGCCCATAAGCCATGACCTCAGCTCCCAGGTGCCCTAGCTACCCCAGAGCCAGTGTGACAGGGTGGGCCCCTCTTCCCGGCCCTAGGCCCTCCATGAGCACCAGCCACTGATACAGTGGGGTCAGGCTGCTCTTAGAGGAAGGACCCCTCCCCCACAGACAAGGGGCACAGCCAGCCTGGCTTGGAATCTCCTTACTCGCTAGGTAGATGTAGTGGGGTGCTGTCCCCCCAAAGTGCATGTCCACCCAGAAGTTCAGAGTGTGACCTCATTTGGAAATAAGGTCTTTGCGGGTGTAGTCAAGGTAAGGTGAGGTCATTCTGGACTAGGGCGGCCCTAAGTCCAATGGCGGCGTCCTCACAAAAGACAGAAAAGCAGACACGGGGAGGCCGTGTGAGCACAGAGGCAGAGACGGAGGATGCGACCACAAGCCAAGGCAAGCCAGGCGCCCCGAAGGAGGAAAAGGCAGGAGAGGTCCCTCCGAGCCCTCGCAGGGAGTGTGCTCGCCGACACCTCCTCTCAGACTTCTGACCTAGAACTGGGAGGGCATGAACGTCTGTTATTTCAGCCTCGGTGCTTTGGCCACCCAGGCCCAGGACACCAACTCAGGGACCTCTGTGGCGGCATCTGCTGTGTCTGGGGAGCAGAGGCGCTGGGTGGCCACGGGGCCGTGGCGGGGGAGGGTCACCCCTGCGAGGTCAAGCCGACTCACTGCGCCAGTGCGTCACCCTGTCTGTAACCTGGCCCGCAGACAGGGCCGAGGGTGCGGCGGACTCACCGCACCTGCAGCCGAGGACACACAGCAGTGGCTTTCTGTGTCCCCCTCCCCCACCACCACACACTCTCCCCGTTTTCCAGAGGAAACGAGCTAGGGAGCACAGCCCCAACATCACATAGCCAGATGGAGGCAGAGCCTGGAAACTGTCCCCAGACACCCCAACCTTTCCCCCTCTGGTGACCCCAGCGGCTGGTGAGGCTGCGACCTCAGTCCGCACCCCTCCCCACCCACCTGCCAGCCTCTGAGGACCCTGGAAGGGCCCTCCTAAGGAAGCTCAGTGCCTGTTCCTTGCTGCTGTCCGGGGAGGCCTGGTCCGCTGGTGCTGGGACCCTGCCGTCTGCACCAGGGCTAGGAGACACTCCGGTCATCTGCAAGAACTTCTCCCGGGCCTGCTGCGTCTTAGAGGCTGATGTGGTCCAGGTTGAGGCATCCGCTGGGCCTGGAGACACTAAACTTGACCCAAACTTGGTCTGGGGGGCTGCCCGGCCTTGTGTCGTGGCTGGGCGAGTGTCCAGAGCACTTGGGGTCGTGGCAGGTCGGGGACTCACTGCTGCCGTGTCCTGTGCTGGCGATGACCATCCTGTTGGGGAGCTGTTGGTCACATGCATGCTGGCTTTGCCGCCCACGGTGCCCGAGGAGAGCCTGAGCTCAGGCGGGCTTCCCACATGGATGCGTGAGGAGGTGTTGGCTGGCGGGTCAGTCGCAGCTGGATAGAAGCCTTTGGCAGTTGAGTTGCCCACTGATGGCTCCCGGGCCGGGAACCTGGCCTTCGGCTCTGGGTCTCTCTTCCCGTTCACCTTCCATGGGGTGCTGGGGGTCCTGGAGTCTGTAGGGGTGGCCTCGGGCCGTCTGGAGGCTGAGCCTGGCAACTTGGGGCTTGCAGAGGTAGCTTTGGGGGGGTGGTGGTTGCAGATGAAGACACCAGGCTCTCCTGTGGGCCTGTAGCCCCCTGAGTGCAGCGTGTTAGAACACAGCTTACACCTGCAGCAGCAGAGAACCAGCACGGGGAAGCTGATTTGTGCAGGGTCTGCCGTACACCTGCACCACCGTCAGACCCAACCAATTAGGGAGCCGGATACCCCAGAGGATGCTAAGGCTTGCCAAGTATTAGGAATAACCATGAGGGTACCCCTGGGCCTACCCTTCAGGGGCCCAGGCTGTGGGCGCGGTCAGAGTGAAGAACCCCACCAAGAAGGGGCAAGTCAGAGCAAAGGAGGACACAGGATACACCTCAAAGGGGGTGTCCTCGAGCAGCTGGACTTTACCAGGGGGCTTTGGGAGGTGACGTGGGGGGGGGCTGCTGTGAGGGGCCTACCTGAAGCAGCTGCGGTGGTAGACCTGCCCATCCGCCAGGTGCCGCTGCACCAGGTGCACGTGCTCCCCGCAGACTCCACAGGTGCTGCTGACAGAGCCGCCCACCGAGGCCAGGCCCTGGGAGGGGCCAGCTGAGTGTCTGGGCCTTCGTGCTGCCCCAGCCCACCCTCCTGACGGTGCCCCCAGCAGGGACTTTAAGACTGGACCCTGAACCCCAGAGGAGCAGCCTCAAGGGTCATCCAACTTGAAGCCCGGGAAGGGAGCTGGGAGCTGGCTTTAGGGACCCAGAGCAGTGCTAGCAGGCAGGTGCCTGCACTCCCTCTTCCCCAAACTCAAGCCAATGCCAAACACCCTGGGGCGCCCCATGTAGGGGCAGCAGGGGGCGCCCAACTACCAGTTATCAAGGGTCCTCATCCTCTACTTCTGAAAAGTAGGGGTGCTGTCATTCATAGGGTTGGTCTAAGAGAAGGGACCCCAAGTTTCCCCTGCCCCACCTGGGAGGGAGAGACCCTCCTGGAGCCCCAAAAATGTGTGGGTCCAAGACTCAAGTTCCACTGGCCAGGGCAACCTCCCTGCTTCCCCATCTATGCAACGGGGGTCAGGTCCCAACCCTGCAGGGTTAAAGGAAGGCTCCTGATAAATAGCGGCTGAAGCTATTGGGGACCCCCGCCCTAGGTTTGTGGTTAGGGGGCCGGCCCTGCTCTGTGAGACTTGGGGGAAACTCCCAGAACCAAAGGAAGGCCAGTGCTGGGATGCTTACAGCCTTTAGGGGAGAACCTTCTGCGCCCCCCTTCTTCTGCTGCACAATGGGGTTTGTTCTGACTGGAGTTAGGGGCTGCGCTCGGGCTGGAGGGGGAGAGGGCCGGCAAGGCTGGGATATGGTCTTCTTTCCAGAAGGTTCCTCTTCAGGGCTGGTCGAGGGCCTCTTCACACCATGCAAGCCGCCGACTGCAAAGAGACACTCAGGTCAGGAGCCCGGCCGAGGCCCTGTGTGCAGACTCTGAAAGTGTCTGGGGCCACCCTTGGATCCCAAGCCCAGGAGGAGGGCTGAATCCTGGGCAGAGTGGGGATGGGCAGCTCCTGCGGGCTGGGAGCTGGGGAGGGGGTGGCACACTCCCAGCCGAGGCCTCTGCCAGATCCCTGCTCTGGGTCAGGAAATGGGGACTCTACAGGCGGGGCTGGCCCTCTGTCCAGAATGATTCCGGGATTTCTAAGGTCAGGGTGAGAGGAATGTGGGGGGTGGGGAAGAAGGAGCCGAGTGGCATACTTAAAGCCGCTGGAATGGAATCCCTGGCCCTGACCTTCCTCCCTGCTAGTGGAGGCCGCCCACTCTGGGGGAGCATCTGGAACCAGACCTGCACCTGGCCTGTTGAGCTACCCAAGGCAAGAGGGGTGGGCACAGACCCTCTGTGCGGCCCAGAGAGGGCTGCAGGGGAGAGGGGCTGGGCTGAGCCTGCTCCAAGCAGGCAGATGGGAGGACTAGGGGTCCTTGCAGAGTACGGGAGGGCCCCTCATCCCCTGGGAGAAGCAGCAGCACTGGGGTGGGGCAGGGAGTCCCCGTGCAGCGCCTCGAAAGCCTCCCTCGGTGCTCCATGAGCAGGCATGCACCTCTGGCAGCAAGCAGCGCTGGGCATGGCTGAGAGGGAGCAGATGGCAGAGAGGGAGGGCGTGCAGAGGGAGGGTCATAATGGCCAGGGGTAGTGGCCACTGGGTGGTCTCCAGCACCTGCCCTGGAGCCCTCAACTTACTGGGGGAGCGTCCATGGAAGTAGTTGTAGTACTGAGACACATAGGTGAGGATGCTCAGCCGGTCAGGCACCTTCAGGGCAACCATGTCCTCCGCGTCCAGCAGGGCAGGGATGCCCAACTGGTCCTCAGCCACACGGAAAGCCTGGGGGCAGGGCAGCAGTCAGCTTCTCTCCACACCCACCCCACCCTGCTCAGACAGGCCACCCGCTCAACCCGAGAGAAACCCGACTAGAACTCAGAAAGCTCCAGGTTCACAGTTCAAGCTCCGCCAGCCTGCAGGACCTCCCTCGCCTCAAGTTACCCAGCTGCACAATGGCGGTCAGACCCCGTCATATGAGATCGAAGGTACTTGGGGAACCAGTTCCAACAGCCGTGCCCCAGTGCCAGATCCCGGAGATGGGGGGGGCGCACCCCATCTGAGGCTATTCATTCTGAAAGCTCAATCCATGTCACCTTTGGAACAGGTGTACACAGGGACTCCTGTTCACCCCTGTACCCAACAGTCCTGGCGGACAGGGAACCTTCTATGGCCTAGGGCGGATTTCTCCAGGGGACAGGTCCTCCCCTGGCCAGAAAACGAGTGTCCTTCTCGGGTCTGGTGGCGTCTATGGTTCTCCTCTCCCTGGCTGCCCCTCTGTACTGGGGTGTCGTGGAGTGTCTGGCAGGACACCTTTCCTCACCTTTCCCAGCTTTGACAGCCCAGAAGTCTCCTGCCTTTAAATACCCATCCCTAATCTGACAGTTCCCTAATCTCTACTTGAGCCTTTCCCCAAATTCCAGGATTGCGACTCCAACTGCATTCAACCTCCACAGGATGTTCTATGGCAACACCTTGGTCTCCATGCATCCAGGTGGGGGACCTGGGCCCTCCCAGGCCTGTAGCCCCCACCCAACAGCCACCAAGCCCCACCCTCAGACCAAAGCCTCAGCACCTTTGACTCCTTTTCAAAATGGAGCCGCTCTGGCAATCCCCCCTTGCCTCCCACCCCTCCTGGCACAGATCCTGTAAAGCCAGGAGTTCATGGCGCACACCATTCAGAGAAGCCAAAGTCTGCCCACACCACGCCTGCCCCTCCTCCCCTACTTCCCGGCACACCACCTGCTTCTCCTATAAGCCTGGTGCTCTCCAGCCTGGGGGACTCGGCCTGTCCAGGTCCTGCTACCGGGCGCACCCCTCTTTCAGATGCCCGGGGTTCCCTGCCCTCACTTCACGTCTCCTTAGCCAGGCCGTTCCTCAAATGGTCACGCAAGCCAACACCACAGTTTCCCACATGTGTCACCACAACAGAACTTTCTGTGACCACGGACGTGTTCTATCCCCAAAAGTCCACCTATAGGTATGACTGTTTGAAATGTGGTCAGTGCAGCTGAGGAACTGACCTTGTCACTTTGCCTTACCTTAATTAAATCAAACTTAAGTTCCATTTGCCCACACGGCCACCAACGTGGGCACGCAGGCTTGGCCATGCTGTGTATACCGGCTATGGCCAGCTGGAGTCCCAGGTCTGGGGGACAGGGTCACATGTCCTGCTCAGCACCGGACCCCGGGCCAGGACAGGGCCAGGCGCATAGCAAGGGCACGCAGAACGCCTGGCCAACTTGAGGGCACATCACATTTGATGCATCAGCCCACAAGGGACACTGGAGCTGATTTTCAGCAAGAAAGCAGGGACGGTCTTGAAGCAGGACGCAGGGCAGGACTGGAATCCAGTCCAGCCCAACAGCGGGCCCAGAAATACTGTGTTCACAATCCAGGAGGGCAACAGCTTGGCGCCCATCCCAGACCCACCCAGGGCCACCCAGGAGCCTGCCCTCCCAAAGCCACCTCTGGACCCTCCTCTGCTTGGAACATGCCCTCCCCTGCCAAGAAAGCAGGTGCCAGCAGGGCCTGGGCTATAAGATGAAAGGATATTTCTGGAGAACTGGGGCCACCCAGCTCAGGATGGCTATGGACCATATGGCCCCAGCACACACACTATGGGCAGAGGACACTCACCAGATTGTTGTTCTCGTAAATGTTCTCCTTCTTGAGAGAATTGTAGTCTCTGGAAAACAAAAATACCAGCGTCTGAAGCAATTCACAGGGAAGGGTCTGAGGCGTCTTGGGCCATCTTGCCCAAGCAGGGACACTTAGATCGCACGCCAGGTCTCTGGCTGCAGGGAGGCTGCCCAGCACACCTGAAGCCACCACCGCTTCAGTCACCTCAGCCTCAGCCCTCACTCTCGTGGCCTACAGAGACCCAGCCATTCCTGCTGCATCTGCCCCAACCTGAGGCGTCGGCAGCAGGCCCAGAGAGGCAAAGCAGCCAGCCAGGTGGCCCAGCCAGGGCTCAGCTCAGAGCAGGCTGCCCTTGCAAGCCCCAAGGAGCTCCGGGCTGCTGGGTAAGGCCACTGTCCTGGGGAGGAGAACACAGGAAGGACATGAGATTCCCAGGGCAGGGGCAGAGCCACAACGCAAGAACAAAGCTCCCCGAGGCCAGCCGGGCATGCTGCCCGGAGCATGCAGGCCAAGGCTCCATCCCACCCACTGCACCCGTCATTATCTCTCCAACAGCCCGAGAGTGCTGCTGTCCTCAGCTCTTTATGAGTTTCCACTCAGTGATCACCCCACAGGTAGTATCAATGCCTGCACCTCACAGAGAAGGAAACTGAGGCCCAGAGCAGCTCCATGACGGCCAAGGTCATACTGGTGGAGACAGAGGGCCAGGGCCTGGTGTCCAGGTGGCGGAGATTTGGCCATTCAGGGGAAGGCATTAAGCAACCTCCGTGCCATCTCTCCTGATCAAGCAGACCCTTGGGCCTGAGAATATGACAGTGTCCCCCAACCACCACACACCCCCACTCCTCCCTTCCTCCCACCCCCACAAATACACACATGTACACAAACACATACACACACACATTTGACCTTGGTGCAGGGGCCAGACCTGGCCGGGTGAAGGACTTCCTACAGAGGACAAAAGCACTTCCTCCCCTTGGGGAGAAGTCCCATGGCAGCTCCAGGGTGGTGTGGGGCCTCGTGGACATGCCCCAGCACATCACAGCCATCCCACACCTGGAGGACACTGGGCAGAAAAGATGGCAGGCACCCCAGCAGGCACCTAGCCCACCCTGACACCGGGGCAGGCAGGCATGTGAGGACGGCTGATCTGTCAGTCCTGTGTTACCACTTCAGTGTGCACGGGATTGTTCTGGAGGCTCAGGGCAAGGGAGAAAGCTCAGCCTAAGACACCCAGGCCACACTGCCTGAGCCCCGATGAGCCCTCTCCTCTTGAGGCCTGTGTTTCCCATCAGAGACCACCTTGGCTTCAGATGAACTGGAGCCCTGACTGCAAGAGCAGGAGAAGGGAGCTGAGCCTGGAGCCACCTGGCCTGGCGGCCCTGGCTCCCAGCCCCTGCCTCCCTGATCCCCATGAGTCTGGGAGCCTATTACCCCGATGAGGAAACTGAGGTGGGGACAGCACCCTCCCCCCACTGTCTCACAGTGGATGCCGGGGAGGTGAGAACTATGGCTCTCCTCCTGAGGAGCCAACCCCTCCTCCTGCCCCCACCCCCCCCCACCCCCAAGGCTCTCCAGGAAACCTCACTGTTTCCGCTTGGACCACCTCCCAGGTAACATGTTCCAGATGCTGAGACCACCCGGGAGCACAGAGCAGGATGGTGAACAGATCTGTCTCCAGGTGGACAAGTGAAGAGGAGGAACAGGAAGGGTGGGGCTGGCACCCAGGCTAGGCAAGGCCTTAGACCAACACGGCCTCAACACCCACCATCCGGGATTTGTCCCCATAGGCATCCACACCCCAAGACCAGGTTTCCATTCAAAGTTCTAGGGGACCCTCAGTCATGCTGGCCCCTCCGTCTTCCCTCCCACCCCCAGCCCGTCTCTTTGAACACTCAATCTCTTCTCCAGACCTGCCTGGGGTCACTGACCAAATGGCTGGCCATGTCCTCAGCAAGATGCCCCAGCAGTGGGAGGGCAAGAAAACAAGTTCTGTTTTGTCTCCAAACAGAGGAAGGGGGGCCTCTGCCCCAGCACTCGCCTCATCCAACCCATGGGGCTGCAGCAGTTCCGTCCTGGGATTGAGGCCAGTCATCTGCCCTTAGGGCACTCTCTTCCTCCAGACTCAGAGAAAGCATCTCAGATCCCACGTGGACCATGGCACCCCAGTTTCCCAGGTGAACCAGAGCACCCCACAACAGCTGAGCAGGTCAAAGATCTGCAGGTGAGGGGCTTGCAATGTCCCCTCCACAAGTTCAAGAACCGCTGCCCCTTAGAACCAAGTCCATGCTGCTTCCCTGAGCCCCCATCACCGCCACCCTGGCTGATCTCATGCCACCACACCCGTCCTGGACCAGGCTTGCCCCTCCCAGCATGCTGTTCTCCACATCCTAGGGCACCCCGCCAGTCCTGTACCCAGAGGCACCCCACCAGTCCCTGAGTGGACACTGCTCTCTCTTTTGCTGACCAAGAAATGAACTCATGTGCCCGGAGGCATGGGGACAAGGCTGCTCTGTAAAGCCCTTCAAAACACCAAGCAGTGACCCACCCATCCCTCTCAGGAAGCATGACCAGTTTTCCTCCAGCAGCGGGGAACCCCCATGGTCTGGTGAGTTGAATTGTTTTCCAAAAAAGATCTGTCGGAGTCCCACGGGACCTCAGAATATGACCTTATTTGGAAGCAAGGTTATCAAGGTTAAAATGAGGTCACTAGGTGGGCCTGCAGGCAATGTGATGGTGTCCTTATGAAAAAGGAAAGTTGGCAGCAACGGTGTGCAGAGAGGATGGCTGTTTTGCAAGCCCAGGAGAGGTCCTGGGGCCAATTTCCCTCACAGCTCAAAAGAAACCAAGATGCAAGCCCTGACCTGGAATCTCGGTCCTGAAGGCGAGAAGGTGCATTTCTGGTGTTGCAGCCACCCCTCTGTGGCACTTCGTTGGTCAAGCTTCATGACTTGACAGCCTTATTTTGGCGAGCCAGAGAAGGTGACCAGCCTGCTAAGGCCTTTTCGGACCAAAATGCACCCGCTTTAAATGCACTAAATGCACAAAATGCACCGTTTGGTTGGTGAGCAGCTGTCATTCAGGGAGGTGGGCCCTGGCCCAAGAGTATCTTTTTTTTTTTTTTTAGCCAAATGCTCATAATTTAAAACCAAGTATGTTCTGGAAGGACTCAGAGGTACCTGCCATGGGATGGGCCCATACAGCACATACTCTATAAATGCTCCTTAATGAGCCAGTTCGTCCAGGGCTTGCTGACGGAGGGGGCTTCTGGAGCGTTCATTTCTTCTTTCTACACGGCGAATGAATGAAAGCATGGGTCTGCTTGTCTGTCGTGCATTTTGCCCATCAGTCAGCTGTCTCCACGCCAACATGGACCCAGCCACCCGGCATGACTGAGAGCTGAGGCCTCCAGGCCCCTCCCTGCCTACCTCCCACTGGCCACGACTGACCACTGTTAACTGCATTTGCTCCAGTCAGCCATCCTCCTGCCCCGGCGCCTTCGGGGCTCTGGGGAATGTGTACCCCCTTTCCAAATTCCTGGAGAGCTGACCTCATACTGTTTATTTCCTGGAACCAAATACAGCTGCAGGGGGTGGGCATGGAGTGGGAGGGGCTGTGAGAAGGGAAAGAGCTTGAAGCCAGCCCTTCTTCCCAGCAGCTCCTGCACATCTGGAGCTAATCCAACTGGGAAGGGGAACTGTGGAGTGGGGGCAGGGGGGAAGGGGAAACAGAAAAACAGAGGCTAAGAACCAAGACTGAAACAGAGAGGCAAGAGTGGGGGCCACATAGGACAGACCGCTCCCAGAAGTGATGGGTCTTAAGGGAAACATATCAAGGCAGACATACCTAGAAGAGCCCAGGGAGAGGTGGGGCGCAGAAGGCACCGAGGGACAGGTCAGGTCAGGTCAGGTCTCGGGGCCCCCACCTTCTCATCACCAGGAGGTCAAGTGAACTGCCCGGCTGCAGGCCTCCCCCAGGCTGGAGAAGACCCCGAGCCCCGGAGTGGGTCTGAGAGGCTTTATGGGGAGCAATGGGCACTGGGCTGCCCCTCTGGGAGCAGCTGACAGCCCCCTCCTTGGCAGTGTGGCTGGAAGTTGGCAGCAGGGCCTCAGACCAGGAACAGAAGGCTTCTGTCCCCAGGCAGCTTCCTGCTAACCCCGAGCCAGCATGGGAGGAGAGGTCAGCCTGGCCGCTCTGGCCCAGGAAGGGAGGCAGCATTGCCTCTGAGTCTCAGGGTGGAGCTCAGGGTGTGAGCTTCTCCTGACTCCCCAACAACAGGCGAGTCTCCCAGTGCAGTCAGGGAGCTGCCAGCCTTGCCACAGTCTTAGAAGTCTCAGGGACCTTAAAAACGATCAGGTTCCTGGGCCCTCCCTGGTGCCCAGTGGGTTACAGCACAGCACTAAGAAGCTAAAGTCACTTCAGCATGAGTTCGATTCCACCTGCCCCGGAGCTGACCCACAAGGCGAGGCAGACCTCTCCTGACCTGCTCGCTGCTCCCCTCAGCAGTGTACTTCATCAGTCAGCCTGTTCTGCTTCCCACTCTGTCCCTGGTGAATCCTCTCACCGCCCCTGCACTCTGGCCTGTACCCCAGTTCTCTACGCCCAAATAAATAAATCTTAAAAAAAAAAAAAAAAAGATCAGGTTCCCCCACCACAGGACAGAGTAGGGTGGCCCAGCAGAGCCCCAATTCCTGACACCATACTCCTGGCTCCCCCACAGCACCTAGAAACAACCACTGACTCAATCGCCCTTCCTTCTGCAGTGAGCCTGGGGAAAAGGCCTCACCCCACACCCATTCTGCCAGCTGGGAAGGGCTCCCGCCAGGCTGGCCTCAGGCTGGAAACACTGTGCTTCCCAGGCCCAGGAAGGAAGGAGCTTCCACACTGCAGAGGCTCCGCCCTGACAGCTTCACTGCCCAGAGGCACTGGGCATCTAAGCTCAATGGATGTCACTGGGGTGAGTACCTCCCCTGTGCCAGTACCCTTGAGACCTCCCTGCAGAACCCACAGCCAGGGGGCAGGCAGGAGCAGGTCGGCCTGGGAAGGTTGGCTCCTCCTGACCATACTCTCTGCTGACCCTGACCTTCAGTTGGCTATTCACGCCAGCTGGGTCATACCCATCTCCCAGGACAAGGCCTTTGATGAACTCCTTGAAGACAGGCAGGACTAGGCATCTCCCAGCTGGCTGACTTAGTGTCCACCCTTCACAGCTACTCTCCACCTCGGGCCAAAAGGAAAAGTCTCCTCCGTATGCAGCAGGAAGGATTGAGAGGAGACAAAGGGAAGGACTTCCTGATGGCAAAGCTAAGAGACACAGAGACAGGATGTCCACTTCCCTGCTGCATTCTTCACAGGTCGAGAGTATTGTCGGCTGGGTCTCACCCCAAGGCTGACCTCGGGGTTCCCCAAGAAGACAGTCTCTCTGTGCCTGTCCCTCACCACATGTCCTCCCTTTCCTACACCACCGGGGTTCAGCAGGGCTTGCTGGTGAGACCCCCCCCCTCCAGTGCCCAACTTGCCCAGAGGCACTGCAGGAGCCTAGGGATGGGAGATGTTGAGGTACAAACACTGGCACCAAGACAGGGCTTGGGCAGGTGGACACACCCCCAGTTACACTCATGGTATTTGGTCAGCTGACATCTACCAAGATCTTCCTCTGCCCTGCCGCACATGAATCCTGTGGTGGCTTTCTCCCACCCTGTAACAGATGACCGCCAAGGGGGCCAGGGCTTCTAAACTGTTGTTTAAACACCCCATTTCTCCCAGTTCTGTAGGCCAGAGATCTATCATCAAGGTGGCTGCTCCCTCTGGAGGCTTTGGGGGAGATCTGTTATTTTCTCACCAGCTTCTGCTGACTCCAGGTGTTTCGTGGTTAGTGTCTACAACACTCCAATCTGACACCATCTCACATGGCCTTTCCTCAGCTTCCCGCAGAGCCCTACCTGAATGACAATGGCTAAACCCCTACCATACCTACTGAACCCCAAAAGCAAACCCTTGTCTGTAGATCTCTAGGTCACCTGTCATGTGCCAGACACCATTCCTCACCGAAGATACAGCAGTGAACAGAAGAGATACCCCGCCCTGGGGGGGTGAAGCTGAAAGTCCAGTGGGGGCAGGCAGACAATAACCAAGTCAACAGAAAATAAGAAAACTGGATGTCCGTATAACTGTGGAGTGGAGGACCTCTTCTTCCTCCCAGCTTCCTCCACATCCCGGGCCTCACTACTCTCTGGAGTTACCTGAGCTTCATGTATCTGTTCACTGTCTCTGTGCGTAGGTCTTCCTGAGACAGGAGCCCAGGTACCTTGCAGAGTAGACAGTGCTGAGTACATGAGTACATAGTAGGCACTAAATAACAGTTAATGATCGACTATGGGATACCGCTTTGTGCCAAACATGTACACGCCCATGTGTGCACACCTGTGCTCCCTGCCGGCAGTGCGTGCTGGGACAGGCATGCTCACGGAGCATACCCAGGTAGGGCCTCTAACCCAGCGAGCTGGGAGCGAATGGAAGCCCCGGGGACTCGGAAAGGCCCCAAATCTCCAGTTCCACCCATGCTGACATCCCGGGGCTCCAGGGCCAGCAGACAGCAGCACCAGCCTCCCCTCCAATCTCACGCCAGCCCTGCCTAGGCAGCCTGGCTCTGACCCCAATCAGCCTTACCTGGACCCTTGGCGCATCGGGCTGAGGCTGAGCTTGCCAACCTCTGCTGTAAGCCTCTCTCCTGATCCCCAAATCCCCAGCCTACTTCCAAAGTTCAGGTGTGGGAGTTCAAAGTGGAAGCACACTCTGCCCCAACACTTTCGCTATATAAGAGTGACGTCAATACATAGTTTGAGCAGGAAGAGAGGCTGCTGCCCGGGTGGCACATGGGGACTCCCCAGGAGGCTCCACAAATGTATTTCATAACCTCAGTGCAGGGAGGAAATGTGCAGGCCCTTTCTCAAGATTACCTTCCTTGTAGAGTGCACAGTTTAGCAGGCCAGAGCCTGGTGGTACAGGGGACACTGGGGACAATGGCTACAAGGGAGGAGCCTAAGCGCCAGCACTGGCTCTGCCTGGGACATACTCTGTGACCTAAACAAGGGTGTTTCCTCACTGGGCCTCCATTTCCCCATCTGTACAGTAAGAGGCCTGGCAAAGATCAGTACGTAGAAGGTGCTGCCTCTGGCCACTCCCTCTCAAACACACACTCGACCTGTCCCAGTATCTACTTGTGACTCCTCAAAAGAATGTCTGAAACATCATGCTTTCTCCAGAATGTGTCCTGGGCTGGTCTGCCCAGGACACACTGCCTAAGCCTCTGTCCACTCGGCCCAGGCACCCTCCCTTGCAGCAACTTCACACAGGGTGAGGCAGAGTGCCGTCCCAGCCAAGTCACTCAGCCAAAGAGCATTTGCTGAGTGAATAACCAACAGAACGGTCCAGTGTTAGACCAGGATGCAGCAACAAGACCAGGCCAGCTCCCCCAGGCACGGGTCCAAGACCCAACTGGGAGGTAGAGAACCTAGCCTCCTCCCTCCCTCCTATGGCTCCCAGAGGTGCCGGCCCAGCCTCCATCTCCCCTATCACTCAAGGGTGGGAAATTTGACCTGCAGGACCTGGAGCATCTGATGCTTCTGCTCTACTTTGGCTTCCCCCAGAGTGACCCTGCACTGAATTCCTAAAGACGCCTGGTCAGGTTAGGGCCAGGGTAGTACCACTTAAGCCCCCGATTTGGGGAGCAGGTCCAGGGGAGCAGAAGTCTCAGAGGACTCAGAAAGGCAGCCGGGAGAGCTCTTTCCCAGGAAAACGGAAGGGGGAGAGGGTGGCCGTGGCTGTGGCCCAGGATGCTGGCTGAATCAGGGCTGACAAAACCAGTGGGGGTGGCCAGATATCCTGGCTGGGGTCCAGCTCCACTTGGTGGATAGGCAAACTGAGGCCACTGGGAACTGCCTTCCGGGACACAGATCTTCCACTTCACCTCAGCAGTCCTGAAGTTCCCACTGCTCCCCTTTCCCCCCTTCCAAAGCAGGTCTGGGCCTCAGTTTCCCTGTCGGAGCCCAGGAGCGGGGCGCACAGGGCATGGAGGGTACTCACATAAGGTCGGGCCGGTGGCGGTGCAGAATGGCGCAGAAGGCCAGGCCGTCGCGGAACGACGTGGTCATGTTGGTGATGCTCACGTCCCGGTAGCCTTCGCATTGCTGCCGGCACCAGTCCTGCAGTGCTTTGATGGCGGCCATGAGGATAGCGGTGCCCACCCAGACGGTAGCGGATCCAGCGGAGCGCGGGCACTCCCAGCAACGCTTTCCTGGGACTGCTGCTCCGCTCGCCCTAGCGGACCCCTGCACGGACCGGGAGACCAGCCCGCCGGAGCCCGGGGGACGGCGCGCCTGGAACAGAGGAACCCGGGAGAGTGCGGCCGAAGTCCGCCGGCCCGGCCCCGCCCCCGTCCAGGCCCGCCCCTGACAGGCCACGGCTCCGCCCAGTCTCCGCCCCCAGCGAGGACTCACCTCCGGAAAGCCCCGCCCCCGTAAATTAAGCCGCCCCCACCGGCCCCCGCCCCCACACACACCCCACCCCCCGCCTCTAAAGACTAAGCCCCGGCTGGTCACTGTGCGTCCCAGGTCCCGCTCCCGACTAGTAACGGCCCGGGCAGTGTACGGTCCCCGGATGGCCCCTTCCCCGACAGACCCTGCTCTCAGGAAAATTCCCGCCCCGGTGCCCGCCCCCGGACGGGCTCCACCTTCGGCCGGGCCCTGGGCAAAACCCAGCCTATACTCCAGGGCCCCGGCCCCGCCCTCCTCCTACCTCCCGGCGTCCAGGCTGCGGAAGGGCCACGCTAGCCTTGGGTTCTTGACCGCCACTGGTCTGTTTTGACTTTGGATGTGTCTTTCCAAAGCCCCACACCACCCTCGCGGAGAAGTGGTTAGAAAAGACTACTCTGTAGACTGAGGCTATAGTAGCTGCCAGGAAAGGGTGGAGGTAGCCTGGCCTCCCCAGGCCTCCTGAGAACATGGGAGGGATGCCCACGCATTTCTGGGCTTTCAAAGGATCTCCCTATGGGAGCCCTCATGCCCGGTGTACTGGGCAACTCAGGGGGCACTCCTGATTCACAGAGGCAGTGAGTCCAGGGAAGGGGCAGTGCTGTGGTGTAGCCTAGCTGGAGTGGGTGTAGTGCCCGCCAGGAATCTCCCCTCCAGGAACTGTCCACCCAGGCTGCCCCTGGGCCCAGCTGGGCCTCGGGCTGTAGTGATATTTCCCAGAGTTCCGCTGTGAACACCTGCAAAACTAACCCCTCATCAAGGCTGAGTCCCTCTGCTGGGCCCTCAATGGCCAGCTCCCCTCCACATTCTTGTGGCTCTCTAGCTATGGCATGGACATGGACAGACAAAACTGGAAACACTGACACCAGATATATGAGAGGACCCCACCAGGCTGGCCACAAAACCCAGGGCTTGTCCAGACAAGACAAAGGTGTTTTCCCATGAGTAGCTCCTGGCAGGGCGGCTTCTCTGTGCCCATTTGAAGGAACAGAAACTGCTCTTCTATCCCAAAGCCACCCCTGCTCTTTCCTGCAGCTGGGCCCTGAGGTATAGCTGCACCCACCCAACAGTGTAGGTGAGGCCTGTGCAAAAGGGGCATCCAAGCTGGGAGCCCCCATAGCCTGGGATTGCAGCCCGCCAGGCTACTGCCCTGGCCTGCTGGAGCTTCCCAGCAAGAAGACAAAGGGTGGTGTCTTGCCAGGACTGATAGCTGGTCCCAGAACCAGAAACCACCTGGTTTTCTTGACTCCCTCTCCCTGGAGCAGTAGCTAGCAAAAAAGGCAGACAGGGGTAGGGGAGAAGACACACAGGGATGAATGAGGGGCAGACAGGGTTGGGGACCCACCACCCTTGAAAGGAAGAGCTGTGGGGGGAGGGAGTTGCTGAGCTTTGGTTTTTAGCAGGTACAGCTGTAGTCTGAGCCACATGGCCTCCCCTGGAGACAGTGACTTGGGAGCAGCATTTGTGGTGTGTTCCCCATCACAGTGTGTCCCCTGCTCCTGTCCAAGAAGGTCCAGGCACCTTCACTCAACTCTGAACACTATGCCACTCCCTCCTGCCCTGCAGCCACCACTGTCCACCCTACCCAGCAGCCCAGGGATCCTTCCAGAAAGTCAGTCAGACCAGCCACTCCCTGCTGGTCCTTTGAGGCTCAGTGATTAAAGTTCCAGTTCCTTGTATCCTGGACTCCCTGAAATGCCAGGCTTCACCCTCCCCTCTGCCTCAGAGCCTGTGCTGCTGGTGGCCTATCGTCAGCTACTGGTCATCCCCAAGAACCTGGGGCCAGTCAAGGAGCTATCAAAGCGCCATAGACACATGGTCCTGGGGTTCCATCTGGCCTCAACTCTCCCCAGGGGCTGCTTTGTGGATTCTGCCTTCTCTCATCAGACCTAGAAGCTCTTCACCTGTGCATTCCCAAGGGTGGGTCCTGCCTGGGCATGGATGACCAAGGGCTGGAGCAGTGGTATCTCAGACATGAGAAAACCCTATCCTTCCCCAATTCCCACTTTGCTTCCCACCCAGTGGGGCGATTTGGCACCCAACACCACCAGCTTCCTGCAATGCCATTTGGTGACCCTGATTTGGAGAGGAGTCTGGGGTGAGGGAGAAGCTCCAGGAGGGTCCACTAGCTACCCACTGCCTTACTGTGTGGCCTTCATAACCGCCTTCCTTCTCTTGGCATTCATTTCCTTATAAGCAAAGATATGAAACAACTCACCCTCCCCCAAACCCCGCCCCCCTGCCAAGGGTTGCCCAGTGGCCTGGCACACAATAGGCACTCGATAGATGCAGTCATGTGCTCACGCTTGGGCCCACGACTGAGGGACCAGTGAGAGTCCCAGGCTGCTAAAGTGTCTTCAGACTTCTGCAACAATGCAGGCTGGGGGTGCGGTGGGGGGGTTGCTGGAAAAAGCTCTAATAAGTTTCCCATGAACAAAGCAGTCCATATTTATGGTATAAAATTCAGAAACCGCAAAAGGAAGAAAATGAAAGGCCTTCTGTTGGTCTGCGTGTTCTACTTCAATAAAATGTTTAATATAAAAAATAAAATCCTCCTTATCCACCAGCCCCAACAGGTCACAACAACAACCCTCTCACCAGCTGTTCTGGCACAAGCCTAGGGGCACCCCGTCCTCACTGGCCAAATCAGATCTGGCAGGAAACTGGCCACAATGTCCACCTCTGTGGCCACGTGTGAGCCTTTCAACCACACTCTCCGGCCTGGTCCCCACTGTTCTCAATATGACATGGAATCACTAGAACAGGAGTGAGAGCATGCCACCTTGCTCCAACCCGTCCCTAGCCCCCACCCCACTCACAAGGAAAGCACAGTCCTTGTGATGCACCCCCCACCCCCAGCCTTCCCTCTCCCAACCCCCCATCCCACTGCCCTTGGGACCTGCTCGCTATACTCCTGTCTCAGGACATTTGCATTCACTGTTTGCTCTACTTGTACCAAATCTTCCAGCCTCCCCTGCAGGCAGGTGGGGCCACGTGGCTAAGCTCTGGAAGGGATGGGTCCACTGCCATCGCCCCATCTACTGGCTGGATGTGACAGAACTTCTGGATGATGGGGCCACCGGTGGAGGAACCCAGACACTGCAGGGCCAGGCAGCAGGCCTCAGGAACATCTGGGTTGCTCTCAGGGTGAGAAGCGAAGTGGGCTGGGCTCAGTTTGTCATTGCAGCTAGCATGCTTAACCTGACTGACACAGGAACATGAGCTGAGGCCTGGACTGTGCTGTTCAAGAAGCAGGTTCTAAGGGGCAGGCAGAGAATCCTGGGTCAGGCAAGCTAATGTCCTGCCCGAGGGTGGCTCTGATCTGGGGCAGGACTTTCAGACCAAGCAGTTTCACTTTCCTTCCAGCTCCTGTGCTGACCCTCTCAGTGACGATGGTTAGGAGGTGGGGATGCTTAGCCCATCTGGGAAGCAGGAACAGTGTTGGGGCTTGAGGGAGACAGGACCAGAGGCAGGGCTAGCTTTACTCCAAAAAGCCAGTTTCAGCTTGAGTAACTCCTGAAGATGTGACCGGTCCCTAGGAGTCAGGTGGCAGGGACTGAGCGCCACATTAGAACACGTGTGGGTCAGGCCCAGCACTGATTTGACCAAAGGGGATGGGCCAGGCAGGGTCAAAGGCACTTGCCAGAACAAAGCAGACCCTGGAGTGTCTAAGGCCATCGGGACAAAGGGAAATGGGGGAGGAGAGAAGCCGGGCAGGTAAGTCCCTGGGCACGGGCCCTAAAGGACTTCTCAGAGCCCTCTCCCCACTGCCTGGACTCCAAGCGGGCAGCCACAACACAAGGAGGGTCCCCAAACCAACGTGCCCACAGAGCTCCTGCTGCAGGAGCGTCTCACCAAACGAGAGTTCCACAAGGCAGGAGCCAGACAGGTGGACCCAGGGTGGCAGCCGCTGTAGGAGGGAGGTGCTCAAGGGGGGAAGTGGGCAGGGTGGAGGCAGCCCCCACCCCCTTCCCTGGGGGGGGGGAGGAACCAGTGGCTGGAGCCAGAGGGGGTGAGGATGGGTCTAAGGTAAGTTCACAACCGAAAGTCCAAGGAATTGTGATGAGAAAACAACTTTTGTTTTTTGAGTTGCTACCTAAGCATTTTAACAGTGCTGGCAGCCCGCTCACACCCTGAGACTGGACTTAAAAGAGATAAGAACTTGACTTTAGGACTAAGATCTAAAGTTCCTGCTTTGCTTCTCCAACCCCTGCTCCCCACCCATACCTTTTAAAATCAGCACCTGGAGTTGAGCCTGCGAAACGCTAAAGACCTCTACCCTGATGCTAAAGTAACAGGCACCTGCGGCCTGGCTGGGACCGGGGATGCAGGCTGCCCTCCCCCCGCTCATGCATCCCACTGCCACGGCCCAGGTCTGTGAGTAATCCATCTTGTGACTCTGTTTCCTTTGTCAGGTGTATGGAAACTCAAACTCCAAACAAAATGAGCCATGATGTCTTCAGGGTGGGAGGGAGCCCAGAGGCCACGAGTGCCGTGTGGGGGCTGGAGCCAGAGCCTTCAGCAGGCTCTCAAGATACCAGCTCCACTTCTCCCCAACTTGCAAGGCCACAGTCGGGTCAGCCAACAGCTCACTCAGGCAGCCAAGGCCACTCTATGGCTTCAAGCAGGAGAGGGAGCTGGAAGAGTGACACCCCAATTTAAGGGGCCCACCCATTAATTAATTAGACCTGATGAATAATGCATGTTGCCCTGAGTATATTAATAGCATATTTATATGGCATACTATGGATAGTATATGTTTTTGTCTGAACACCTCACAAATAATTCATGCCCCTGCTCCTTCTCAGGCTCTGGGAGAACCTGGCCAGTGCTCAGGCTGGGGCTTGTTGGTTGCTTCCAACAGCCAAATTTTACATTTC